GGACCTAATCCTACCACCCAGTTTCCCCTGGTGCGGAGAGGGGGAAATGGGGCGAGTGGGGTTGGCTGGTTTCTCCCAGATCCTTGGCCCCCTCCTAGAGATGAGCACTGCTCTGTGTGCAATGCAAGGGAAGAGCGGAGGGTGAGTGAGAGGCAAAGCACGACATAAACACACAAGGACAGAAAAGCCATGCCGGATCGGGCCACTGGATCATCTCGTCCGCCATTCTGGGACTCCGCCACATTAGCCTCTAGGCCAGTGTTTCTCAACCTTGGCAACTTTAAGATGTGTGGACTTCAGGCTGGGTGGGGGATTTTTGGGGTTGAAGTCCACACATCTTAAAGTTGCCAAGGTTGAGAAACACTGGCCCAGAGGCTAATGTGGCGGAGTCCCAGAATGGCGGACGAGATGATCCAGTGGCCCGATCCGGCATGGCTTTTCTGTCCTTGTGTGTTTATGTCGTGCTTTGCCTCTCACTCACCCTCCGCTCTTCCCTTGCATTGCACACAGAGCAGTGCTCATCTCTAGGAGGGGGCCAAGGATCTGGGAGAAACCAGCCCACCCCACTGCGCTCAATTGCCACTTCTCGACACAGTGGGAAGCTGGTTGTTAGCATCAGTTCCATTTAAATGGAGATGCAGCCATGTTTTCTGCTGTGAGGAGAAACGCCTCATGGAGTGTTATAGATCTGTTAGCTGGGCATATGTATGCATGTATTGCAAAAAATAATGCATTTCTATTTTTAGGGGGTGGGGGAGAATCAAGGGCCAAGGAACACATCCCCAAAACGTGAGGGAAGACAAACTGCCAGCCAAAACTTCAGATACAAAATACGCAAACTTTTAAGCCACGGGATTCTTTTTTCAGCCACTGTCATTGAAAAGGAGTCGTACTCTGAATCCAGCCACACCGTTGTCCTGCACTTGCATTTTGAATCCTTCCCTTCTGCCCTAAAGTGTCACCAGGGCAGTGTTTCTCAACCTTGACAACTTTAAGCGGTGTGGACTTCAACTCCCAGAATTCTCCAGTCAGCATGCTGACTGGGGAATTCTGGGAGTTGAAGTCCACATCGCTTAATGTTGCCACGGTTGAGAAACACTGTCCTAGAGTCTCTCTGCGGTCAGGGAACATTAATTCAGCCCCACAGAGAATGCCACTGCTTGTCTTTACTAATTGAAAGTCTCAAGTTGGCCTTGTTTGTTTCATGCATCCCAAACCAGCAGAGAGTTGAATCCCAGGGGTAAAGAAATGGATATTATTGATGGATGACAAAGTTGTGCTCTCCGTGATCAGCCTGTATTAGAATTTGCAAAGCCCCAGTTTTTTCCCTGTTCCAAATTGGTTCTCTCTTCTACTGCACCTTCTTGCTCTCTTCCCAAGAATGAATGACATCGAACATTGCCATCTGAGGGTTGAAGAGAGCTGGGGAGAGTGCAAGGGGAGAAAAAGGGGGGCGATGCACCAGAAAGAGACTTGTCCTTTGCTATTCTTCCTTGGCAGTGATCTCCCCCCCCCCGAAGAAAAGTAAAGAAAATTGTCAAATACCCATATTCACATGGTGAAGTCAAGTCAAGATGAGTTAAGATTCCAGTTGGAGTGGAGTGAAGAAGGATGCATTAAATCAGGGATAGAGAATTCCCCTTTAGCCAGGAGCTGTGCCTTTTTTTAAAAAAAACGCTTCTTTCATTTTGGGCTTCCAAGAATTGCAGAGTGTGGTGTGCTTTGTTAAATGTCACCATGCCTGGGGATAAAATTGTCAGACTTCTCTCAAGGTGGTTTCTCCCCACCTTCTACCCCCTTGGTAATATTTCCTTCCTTCCTTCCTTCCTTCCTTCCTTCCTTCCTTCCTTCCTTCCTTCCTTC